AGATTTTTAAATTTAACGGCGCATTGCTCATCAGTATAATTGTGGGCTTTGTTGAGGACCTTCAACTCTTTTGATACAAATTGCCAATGTTTTTTTGAAATATTCTTTGATATGGAACCACACCTTTCAAGTTCTTGAATCTTATTCTTCAAAATACGAAGGAATTCTTCAGTAATTTCTTTTGTCCATTTACACGGATATGCTTCTTTTTTGTCGTTTACTTCAACTTCTTCATCTTCATAGTTTAAGTATTCGAATAAATCTAAGGAAAAAAAGGGGGATATAAATAAAGTTCATTGAATTTGGGATCGACTTAAACAAGAACTTTTTATTTTGTGAACCCAAATTCCTGAACGAAACAATTTAAGTTGAAAAAAAAACATATTTATACATTTTCATTACCACTTTGATTATTTTGAATGAAAAATTGTGCCAGATGAATATCTAAATATGGTTTCAAAAAAAATTCGAAGTCGACTTGATATTCATTAGGAAACTCCACAAATGGTCGTTGTTGCTGCCCACTCAAGTTTGTATCAATGCCATAAAATTTTTTATTAAACACATCAGCAATCATTGAGGATGGAATAAATTCGCAGGTTATTTTGTAATTTTTATGATTCTGATAATATGTAAATAAAAAAACTTTGCCGGTAACGGTATTGCTAGTCATCGGTACAAAAGTATCTAATATTTCTTCACTAGTGATTTCGAACAGATTATTTTCTATAGTATGAAAGAACGAATGCTTGGTTGCAACAATGGTCTCTTGAGAACTTTTAGGCGGGGATGAGCCAAGTGCTTGAATAAAGAGTTGCCGAATGTCAGGACTACAAGAGCTAGATGCTTCATAACTATTATGAATTGTGTCTTGAATAAGTAAACCAAATGTTTCGGGGTCAAATGGCGACGACATGTTGGGATTTGAAATTTTCTTTCTTTACAAACCATTTAAATATCACATTTAAAGAAGGAAAATTGAAAAAAGTTTCATGTTTCATGTTTCATTAAATTTTAAGTTATATATAACTTGTCTCGAAACACAAAATCTGATAACCATCGGATCCATAAAACTGGATTCAATCCAAAATATAGATTTAAGTAACACGTGATTGTGTTATATTA